CATGTTTGGGACTACATGACAGGGCTGTGTGGCCATCTCTGTCAAATGGCTTTTTTTTTTTAATGCGCTATTCTGGCATCAACCAGGCTCGGCCGAACACAATCACCTGCGGACCTTAACCAAGGTTCCCCAAAGGCGCATTCATTAGTGAATGAATCTTTGATGTTCAGCCTAAGATAGGATTTGAACTTTGATCTACCGATCACGAGTCTGATGCGACAACCACTATGCTACCAGTGACCGGACTGCATATTTTAACCAGTGAGAGAAAATTACTTTTTTAAAAATAAAAACATACAAACAATGCCGATGCATTCATTCATTTATTTATTTAGTCAAGAACCCAATTCAAGATTTTTAATACAGACTCTGCAAAATCAAGCATTTCTGCTATTTTGGAACCTCTTAGTTAAGCATGGACAGATTTTATTTAAACTTGGTACACACACATTGGACATTATAGGACCTATCATCGAATCATTAAATAATTCATGTCATATGTATCCAAATATTTGTGTGCGAAGTTTGATGGTAATTGACCCCATATGTCTGAAATACAAGTGTGGACACAAATGTTAAACCATAAGCTACCATTTTAGACCCAAAGTCAGAGACAGAAATTTGAGACATTTCTGTGATAGTTCAAAAATTCCTCAAATCTGCCAAATTACTGATTATGTTCAACTGACTAGAACTCTATATATTGAAAGACACAAATGATTTATGAAGTAAAATAAAAGAAACCATCAATACTTGTTGATCATTAGTGCTATTGATATACCAAGAGCATGGTTAAATAAAAAAAACAAAAAACGATACAGACGTGCCTTTATTATTATTCTGAAATTATCATTAAAATTATGATTTTTGAAGACAATTTTTTTCATTACTCTGACAAAAAAACACAGATGTAGCTCGCACATTTTAACTGACTACAATTGGCAGTACATAATTAAAACTTTAATATATTGTTTGTAGGCCTAACCAATTTGCAGAAAGTTCACAGAAAAAAAATTACTGTAAAACGCATTGAAATAGCTACATGCAATTTTAGCGAGCTTGACTTGATGCAAGAATAAACAGAATCTTAATATCATGTGAGAATATGCTTTGTTTTAAATTAGCAGCATCTTGAATTAGCAAAATTGCTGATTAGCTAAGATAGCATGCGAACTAAAAAGACACGTTTTTACAGTATTCACATTTGGAGTCAATGTCATTGCCAATGCACTGTTATAGTTCAATCCCAATGCCATAGTCGTGCTCACGGTCACACACTCGCGGTCATTACCACGGCCATGGCCATGGAACAGTTCAGTCAAGTCTTGAGCTAGAGTTGTCACATCACTAGTTAAACAATAATTCAATTTTTTTTTTATCCTTTCAAGATTTTCAACACGCATATTTCACAGCTAAACATTATTTAAAGGGCAATGATCTTCATGCAACGCATGTTCGAGTTTCTTGTAAACATTTTTACATGCGTTGTATACATCACTACGAGTCTCGTACGTTATCGAACAGAAAGCAGCACAGTGACCATCAACTTTTAATCATTGCATTAAATTAGATTTAAACTGATCTCCCCGGATTGTTTCTGAGTACAATCCAAGAGATTACCAGTCTCCTCTTTAATTGTCATCACATATGTACTGCATATAATCTTTAAATGTTAGTTATTCTCAT